ATAGAGTGCAGATCAAAATCCCCTTTACCTCTGAAAAGCAGAGCTCAGAGCTCATCTTGGATTTCATATCACATTCAATAGGCAGTGCCCTTTGCCTATCTTACGGAGGACTTCATTAAAAAATGAATAGCTGTTTCTCGCAATGTGCACAACAGACAGTGATGCTGTGAGTACAAAATACCCTCGAAACAGTTTAGAAAACTTCACAGCAGCTGAATCTAATGGGTTCCTAAGCATCAAGGAAGTCACTTGGTCTGCTGAGATGGGCCTGCAGTGAGACGGAAAGGCAACAAAAGAACCCAAGCCTCTGGAATTTTGTCATTTAGAAGGTTTTGCCTCTCCCGTTTTATTTGACATTAATTGCAATCAGATGTGGTGTCACAGCAGCAGCTTGACAGACTGATAATACACTTCTGTACCTTAGTGGTAAAGCACCTGTTTTGCATGCAGAGGGTTGCAGTTTGCAGTCCTCACATCTCCTAGTACGGCAGGCAGAGACCCCTGCCTGAAATCCTGCTGAGATGTGCCAGCTGGTGGAAAGAGTACTGAGTTATATGGACCAGTGGTCTGACTTATAAAATAGCTCCCTATGTGCATTTGCATAATTCCTGTGCACCATCTTGGTTGCTTGAAACACTTTTTTCTAACCCATGCAATGTTTGCGTACAACAGGAATTGGTGGGTGCAAATCTGCAAAAAATAAAATAAAATAAATCTACAGAAGTCTTAAGCTATTCCCTTTCGTTACAGTAGTTTGGTGTTTTCCAATGAGGAAGAGAAATGGAACTTTCCCCAGTAACTCTCATGCAGTTATTTTAGAATGCATAAGCCAAACTGAAGCAAGGTCTAGTTTATTGGGACTCTAGGTCCCTAAAACAGATGAAGACCCCTTTCTAGTCACAATGGTATGCTTTAACTCAACTTTTTTGATCGTGCTACCAGTGGAAGTTGGTGGGAACTACAAGAGTACGTCAGCATGAAAGTGGCTTTAAGGCAGGGACGGGGGCACTCTGGCCCTCCCATTCTTGCTGGCCTCCAGCTCCTATCACTCCTGCCCCTGTTGGCTGGACCTTATGGGGATTGGAATCAAACAACATCTGGAGTGCCCCAAATTTCTCCACCTTTGCTTAGAGAGCAGCGGTAACTGCAGACCTGGCACTAAAGAAAGACTAAGAAGAGGTACCTGCTACCATATGGTTTTGCAGCTGTTGCTTTTTTGTTTCTTTGTTTTATTTGTCTCACCAGCTTCTCTAAGGGACCCTTTTCTATAATGGACTTTGGAAGTACCATTATTTTAAAATGCAGATTGTGGATCTTTCATTCATATAACAGATTATAAACTTATTTGAACAAGGCCTTCCAATTTCCTTACTTACTGACTTCATTTGCTTTGCCTTGTTCTTTTATGCTATCGGGGCAAAGGCCTTTAGCCTAGATAGGTTAAGTATCACTTCTTCCCTTAATTCATTTACAAGTTTTCAACCATGACCGAACAGGATATTCAAGAAATGTATAGTTGTATTCTCAGCAGCTGTGGGTCTCCCAGTTGCAGAGGGGCAGAAGGTGTCAACAACTAATAAACTCAATCCATTGCCAGAACTTCCATAATCCCTCCTCATTTGTGTGGGCTTTTATTTAGAACTTCTTTCTTTCTTTCTTTCTTTCTTTCTTTCTTTCTTTCTTTCTTTCTTTTTTGGACCTTATGAGAATGTCCTCCAATAAGCAAAACATGCACACCAAAACATACTGTTCGACAGTGTATTGTCTTCTTGTGTACATTTATTTCATTATTTGTTTTTGGGATTGTCTTTGAATGGCTGGGATTAAACATCTATGGGAAAACTTTTATCAGCTCATGTGACACTTCATATTTTCACTGAGGAATTTTATCTTGTCAGTTTTAATGGCCACAAATGCAGTTAATGGCCACAAATGGGTTAGTAAGGATTAGGCAGAAAGAGGAAATAAATAAAACAGTAGCCAAAATTATGCAGCAGCAACTGTTTTTCATATCCCTTTCCACAGTGCTTTTTTTCTTTAAAAAAACATTTAGGGGTACTCTCATTTTGACTCAAGAAAATCACCATTTTATCAAGGGGGGGATACGGTAAATGGACCAAAGTGCAAAGATTCACGAAAAGTTTAGGGGTATGCGTACCCCTGCCTACCCCCAGAAAAAAGCACTGCCTTTCCAAACATGCTGTCTTCTGCCACTCCTTCCAAATCACTCATTTTCTATAACATGGCGAAAGAAATTTCTGTCTGCCTTATCATTTATCAAATCAGTCTTAAAATGGAGCCATGTTTAAACATAAAATAAGCCAAGTAAAAAACATTCACTTGTGTTATTCGTAGTATTTTTTTAACTTTATTAGTATAATTAGAATTACAGTATGACATAAAATAACGAGCTTTTGCTAAACTCTGTAAAGCATTACATGCGTCTGCCATAAACAACCTCTATTATAGATTTAGGTTTTATTGCCACATCACTGCACTGAGGTGCAATAAACATTCAATGTCATCTTTTGTTTTTGTGTTTTAAATTATCCCAGGAGTAAACAGAAACTGTCCTCTATAAGAGTGTATCATTATTTTCAAGGAAGACTTACTATTATTACATGGTTTAGCAAAGCACTGTAAAAAAGCTACATAGAGAGAATACCTTGTCCTTGATAAACTGTGCAATCAGGTTTATACAATATACTATTCACATAGACTAACAAACTAAGAGATGATATTATGCAGTCATTGCATAGCAAAAAAGCAGACTAGTTAAGTAATATTCACATCTAATGTGCAAAATGCAGACCAAAAAGTAGCAAAATGGATAATTAGGAAGGTAAAATGCCCTGAATGAACACACTAGTTAAACGCCAAAAATAACAAGATAAACAAATACCGAAGTTAAAGAGTCGTATTTTATTTTATTTTATTTTCTATACATATATCTACACATAATACCAGAAGATTACACATCCTCCTTTAGCAAGCTCCAATCAAATTCGCTCATCAAGTTTAGACAGGACTAAATGGTAGACAATGAAGCATTAGTTTTTTGTTTAAAAAAAGTCTCCTTTTCTAAAGAAAAAGTTAACTATTTCATTTTGTAGATACTAAGTGAGCAGCAACCTCTTGATTTATTGAGAAAGAGTATATAAAACATTGCCTGTAACATGTATAGATATCAAACTGACTATCTTATTAGCTATTTTGATTGAAGGTCCATGTAGCATTGTTTTTTTAAAATGCATTCACTACCATGTGTTATGGATTCTGAACCACTGCGTTAAATGCTTCCAAAATCCCATCAGTGTCTCCAACATTTTGAAAATATCCGTCTCTGAAATTTGACTCTCCCCTCTTAAAATAAATTCTCATCAGAAATGAAACTGGCTAGAATTATTTTTTGAAGGGAATACTAATAACTTGCAAAATGGACATCTTGTATTTAAAGCCCTTACATATTGTTCCTACAAATATATTGCTACAGTAAAAATGAAATGTAATAAGTTTACTCAATAAAATGTTTTTTCCTGTACATTCTTTTGTGTATGTTTTTTTCTGTATTTAATGCTACATATATTACATCACTTATAATTAACAGTTATGTATCAGCAAATATAGCAATAATATACAGATGATTTTTGTCTTAAATATTTTACCATTTTCCTACCAAATATAACTCCATATTTTTTTGTATTCACGCGTTACCTGAGCATACCAGTCTTAGCCTAATAATATACACTGGATGACAGCTTCAACCTGCAAGTACTGTACAGATAGCCACTTTACAAATGGAACTAATTCCAAGCTCTCCTCTTTGTCTTTCTTACATTTAGTCTTTTCATTTTCTTTCAAATGCCACTGACTCCTTTTTTGTTTTTAACTGCAGGCTCTAAATATGTTTCTTTTTAAAATATAACATATTAAGAGCTTAGAGAGGTGAACCGTACACAATATATTAAGAACATAAAAAAGTAAAAAAATGTACAATCTCATGCTGTATATTTACAAATATTATCGAAATAATAGATTTTGTCTTTCTCCTGTCCTTATATTTCAATCTAAAGCTTTTAATGTACGGTTTTATAAAATAATACATTCAACTTTTCTAGAGCTTGCAAAACTGTGTTCTTGTTTTTTCCCCCTTCCTATAAGAAACAAAAACCTAACCAAAACAAAAAATTCACCCTGTAAATAATCCAAGAGTCGATTTCTCTAACGCGTTAGAAGTAATTAGAGCTCTGCACTTAATGTGCAATAGATTCAATATTATCAAGTCAAGTGACAATCTGATGCTTAAAATAAGACTGCAGCAAGAGAGCATATTAAAGCATTCATCATCGTTAATCAAATGTGCTATTCTGTGATAACCTGTACCATTAGTAAGTAGGCTTCCTTTTATGTAAATAACATTATATACTTTTTAAACTGGTGGTTGGTAATTTAGGCAAAGAAAGAAAGAAAAATAAATCTAGGAAAAATATTGTATTTTCTGGAATCCACCACTTTGGAAAGATGTATATATTCTATAAAAGAACTGAAAATAAGTAGCACTCCAAAAATGGAAAATACCATACCATATGTGCAACATGAACATATATAAAGACTGCTTTACCTTCTATCATTTTGCATAAAAATATTTCTCTTCTGACATGTACAGCATCTGTTATGGGAACATTCAGCAATAGGCTATCTACAAGTGATTTGGATTTCTTACATTTCCCTCTCTTGTTCAGATTCACGGTTCAGAATCAGGTGTCTACATCACATTGTTACAGCCCTAGAGTACAGAATTAATATCTTTTCTATTATATATTTATATATATATATAATATACTTTTACTTCATAAAATAAGGAAATCTCAATTTCTTTTAAGACAGAGGCAATGAAGCAAATGGGAATTGCTGTGTGTTTAAAACCAAAAATAATAATATTAATAAGACAATCCCCAGTGCAAAAGAGACTGAACAAACTATATATATGGTTAATGGGGTTAGTGAGGAGGAGGGTTTTGGTCTTTAAGCTGGGGCTCTCTATTTAAATAGGTAGCCCAATACACTAAATTAAAAATCCCAAAAAGCAATGGGAATGCTATTCTTGATAGTCGGTCAATTTTGCTGACGCTGTTAAAAGTTTTCTTGGGTTCTGGAGGTTTTGCGTCAGCTTTGACTTCTTTTGGCTCTATTGTTGCGCTTTTAGCAATGGTAGCTAGTCCAGGGTCCCTTGCGATATTAGGGGTGAAGCTAGTTGCTGTCGCTGGTGCTGTGAACGAGTTGTTTTTCATAATCAGAGGATCCTTTACTTTCTTTGGCTAGGAATGAGAAAACATAGACTTTAATCCAATACATCCATTCGACCATCCATTCAAATGCTTGGACGGCTCTGAGACATATGTATGCTTTAGGAATATGCAAAACATTCCTTTTGTTTTCCACATGGCTATTTCCATATTGTAAAAAAATAAACCATGAGATTGCATTTCCTGGCCATTTATGCACAAAAGCAGATGTGCACATTTAGGAAGGGCAAAATTTTCTGATATTTGTTTAAAAGTCATGGGGAACTTTAAATACACATGTGTTGATGGGAATGTATATATGTAGGTTGTTTTATATAGATAAGTTTGTTTTAACAGAAATTTGTCTTGTAAGCATGGGTGCATCCTTTCCCACAAAAATGAAAAGGCTCTTTGATAGAGTAGGATGTAGAAGAAGGGGATACCACTGTTTACACACTTCCCTGAGAGAAAATCAATTTAATTTAGTGGAATTTTATTTTGAATAGACATTCCTATGATTGCACAATTCCTATTATGCATGCCCCCCCATTTGAAATTCTACCTAGATTATATTGTTCACTAATCTCCCATTCTATACATGTTGTTTTGCACAGCAGCTTCTGAGCTGCAGCAGCAGACTTTGTAGTAAAAGCATTGAATTATTATTATTATTATTATTATTATTATTATTAGTGCCTGTAAAAGCTCATAACAGTTCTTTGCTAGCCCAGTGCATTACATTACAGCACTGCATATGAGAGGGCTAGTAACTGGTTGGCAGCCATGTATAGAAATGGAGGAACTGTCACTTCTATGTTTGCCAAGTGCACCTGAGCACAGAGATGTGTGGCAGAACTACACACATTTATTTTAGAAAAGAACGGAACTCTAGATGAGAGAACTCCATTTTCTTCATTCATTTCAATTAAATGAATGGAAATCCAAATGAACGAGCTCCAAATGAAAAATCCATTAGTTTGCCATTAGTTCTATTCATTTAATTGAACTGGAAGCCTGGAAAGGCCTGTACAGACCATAGAGATGTCACATGTAGGAGAAAAGAGGCAGAGAGCAGTGAAACGGACAGAGGTGAATGCTGTCCAGTCTCTATCCAACCCCTTGCCTACTTATTTTTAAAAAAACCTTTTGGCATCGTCTCCAAGAAAGCCTCCAGCAACGTGCAGTCTTCTGCCAACATCGCAATTTTCCCCAGTGCTATTATTTTCAGACTCAAGGGTCTGGATGGCACGTGCATATACATCTCTTGATGTCTTGTGATTTGATGAATCATCCATTGGTGGCTCACTGCTGAATGTCCAAATTTTCTCAACTGAAAAGTCTTATTTTGACATGGCAACAAGGGTGATATGCAAGCTGTCTTTGAGGTGCTGAATTGATGTTAGCTGTTTCACACATATATGCAATTGCTCAGCAATTCACATGCGTATGTGTGATTCGCTCTTAGCTGCAATCTGAAAAGGAGCTGCAGTAAATTCCATATTTCAATGCAGATATGAACTTTTTAAAAAAAAAATCTTAATGGGCTGCTGAATTTATAAAGAAGTTGCTTGTTAATGTTGAAAGGGAACTGCTAGCATCTGAGTTGTAACATCTTTGGGAGGAATTAATGATACTGGATTCCTTGTAACAGTCCTAATACAAGGGGGAGGGGCAGAGAGAGCAAATTGAACTCTGAGGGGCTTACATTTGAATGAGAATGTTTAGGACAGATTATCAAGTTCAAGCACTTTGGTTCTGTAGGATCATGTTTCCCATGCAACGCGTACAGTGGGTCATATGACAATGTATATTATTACCTTTTCGGGAACAACACTCTTGCCATCCCATGCATAGCCTCTCTTTGTAAAGTAGTTCACTGTTGCAAATTCAATCAGTGCCGAGAAAACAAACGCATAACACACGGCTATGAACCAATCCATAGCAGTGGCATAAGCCACCTTGGGGAGAGAATTCCGTGCACTGATGCTCAGGGTGGTCATTGTCAGCACAGTTGTCACTCCTGCAAAGCAAAGCAAGAACATTTCAGAACTCATCCAATCGCCACCCTGTTGCCTACTCCCATCCACCTCACAACTGCGATATTGCTTTGAGTATATGCCATTGTAGAAGAGGAGGAGAAGAAGAGTTTGGATTTGATATCCCGCTTTATCACTACCCGAAGGAGTCTCAAAGGGGCTAACATTCTCCTTTCCCTTCCTCCCCCACAACAAACACTCTGTGAGGTGAGTGGGGCTGAGAGACTTCAGAGAAGTGTCACTAGCCCAAGGTCACCCAGCAGCTGCATGTGGAGGAGCAGAGACACGAACCCGGTTCCCCAGATTACGAGTCTACCACTCCTAACCACTACACCACACTGGCTCTCTCAACTGTAGTTAGTTACAGACGTCTTCAGGTTTGTTTAGCAATACCATGGTCCTTTTTGTAATGCAAACATTTGATTCACCAGCAGGAGCATCCCCTGACCAGAGTTCCACTCGGGGTGTGCTCCAGCAAGCAGAGCTGCAGAGTGTGGCTTTTGTCTTCTACCCCTCTAGCACTCAATGCTACCTCTCACACTGTCCCAGATGTTTGGAGGACCCTTTGGATGCATGTGAGAAGTGGCACTGGCAGCCACCAAGGGAGGAGGGATTGGCAAAAGTTGTTTCTCCCACTCTGCCTGGGGGATCTCTTCCCTGGATCAAAAAACTTGAGTCCGCCAAAGGAGAAGTCTGGACCAGATATAGATGTAGGAACAGATCAGTCAAGATCCAAAGTGCTACTTTAGAGTGCCCAAGGGCTTGTATGTTTGTGTGTGTGTGTGTAGGAGGCATTGCTGTGGGCAAATCCTAAATCCAAGCTCTCCTTGACACGTGGAAGGAGTTTCAGATACCTCACATCCTAGCTATAGATAAAACTTACTGAGTGACAGGCATTATTTTCATTCAAGTATTCTCTATTTTTATTGGATTTGAAGTTTGTTTTATGCCTGTTTTTATTGTTAATTGCTTTGTGATGTTTTATGGGAAAAGATTCATAAATGAAACGGACAGTATTGAACATGTGCAGGGTAGCTACTTTTATATATACCACACCATCTTGTGCATGTTTACATCAAAGAAATTTCCACTGTGGGCAATGGTGCTTGCTTCCAGGCAAATGAACCCAGGATTGCAGCATTAGATGTTGCAGTAACATAGAATCACAGAGAGTTGGAAGTGACACGAAGGGTCATCTAGTCCAATCACCTGCAATGCAATGCAGTCACCTGATTTATGGCAGTTCCCATGCTGTCTATCTTCCATAAATACTGATGATAGGAAATCATCAGGTTGCAGCTGGAGAAATCAAGTCATATCAGGATTGTCCCTGACTACTGGACAGGGTGAGGAAGTCCACACGAGAGGACAGAAGGTAACCCTATTTAGGTTTTAAAACAATTTGAAAACAGAACGCAGAAACAGTGGGAGTGGGGATGGGCACACCAGCTCTGCTGCTCTCTCACCCCCTGCCCCCGATCACCTTCCACAAATTTTGTGCCTCACAGGAGGGAGCCTCTTATACTCATGCAGGCTCACTGTGCAATGCTGACATCTGGAAAATCAGGGTTTTACATCATGTGGAGAAGCGTACTTGTCCCCACTCTCCTTTCCCTGTGGCCTGGATTACTATAATTCCTGAATAGGACTCTTGCTGTACCATTGAACTGGCAAAATGTCAGTTAATTGGATGATTGTGATGGTTTACCACTAGGGGACGCCATTTGGATTTTTCTGCCTGAGGCACCAAAAACATCTTGAGGCAATCCTGACTGGAATCACATCCCTCTTGGCATTTGAGGCAAATTACAGTTATGGCTATGCCTCAACTGGACGAGCCAGCTTAATGGTTTTCAGATGAAATGAATAGTCCTTTCCATTTGTCTTCTTGTTTCTGAGCCCTATCTCGCATGCTGCAGCAACATTTTCAAGCTGTTCTCCACAAGCTTAAAGACTAATGCTGATGAAATAAGAAAAATATTGCTAATGTTGATTAAATAACAGGGGAAATGCCACTGTGATCATATACTTTGCATTTTGAGTAGTGATGTTGCTCACCCGCCGCTGAGCAATTTTATTTTAACTAGCTGCTGAGCTTTTACTGAAAGTGAGAGGTCTGTATCTCTGTTGCATTGCTTACCGTTGCGTTAAATCACATATTCACCAGTTACCTTGACAACTGCAGACATTTCATGTATTAAATCTCTGCTGCAGTATATTTCCACTGTGTCAAGTGTTAGCCAAAACACAGAGCAATCAGAAATATCTTGCACTATCCATATTCAGATGCATTATTTATTGTCAGAGGGGGGAAATAATATGACCTTTCAATTATCAGTCATCCCTATTCTGAAATGTCTCCAACTGCATAACAAATTGTGTAGAAAAAACTGACTTTAAGGCTGTAGTCCTGTCCAGCACAATCCTATGAATGTCTGCTCAGGCCCGTTAAGTTGCTTATACTCTCATGTAAATGTGCACAGGATTGGAGCCTAAATCACAGAGAAGTAAATGGAATTTAAGCACCCTGGTCACTCACAGAATAATGAATCAAACTCTGCTGTTTGTTTCTGTGTGTTTACATTCATATGAAATATTTGGAGGTTTTCCTTTTCCATGATAGCTAAACATAAAGCTTTAGAAGGGAAAACCTAGTCAAATGCAATATATATAACCTCCCAGAATGAATTGAATTGCTTTGTGCAGCCTTCCTTAACTTGGTGTTTTGCACTGCCATTCCCACATACAGCAGACAATTGCATACAATTCTCATCTGGAGAGCATCCAGTTGAGAAAGGAGGCTTTGTGTCTGGAGCTACTGACAGTGTCTCATAGAATCCTTCATGGAAGCCCCATCACCAGTAATGGACCAAACCCAAAGAGCAATGCTGTGCATGCTAGTCCTACTCCTGCTGCAGCATCCCCTGTTGGCACCACTCCCACACTGCCCAGCCATACAGAGCTTGCCTGTTCAACAGGGAAGCCTGTTGAACAGACAGAAATTTTCAAGTGCTTAGGACCCTGATCACGCAGGATTGTAGAAGGCCTACCTACATTCAGCAGGCATCCCATCAGTGGATGAGTTGCTGGTGCCTGGAAAGCATGGGGCCCACTCTTTGTCCATGCAATATTTTGTGCATTGCACAATACAGCCATAGACTTCACAGTCCAGCATTTTATTGGTTTCTGTGGTCCTTGTCTTGCTATTGTCTAACACCATGATGTTGCCACAGAAGCCTGGAGATAAGAGGTGCTAAAACACTGGATGGGGGAAAATGTTCTCAATTATTCTGCTTATTACAAGACCAGAGCAGGCTGGTCCATTAGGGCAATTGAAGAGCTGCCCCACCAACCTCAGCCAGCCCCCAGCCAGCATGCCTTTTACTAATAACTAATCAGGAAGTAGGAACACAGGTGGCACTGTGGGATAAACCACTGAGCCTAGGACTTGCAAATCAGAAGGTCGGCGGTTCGAATCCCCGTGATGGGGTGAGCTCCCGTTGCTCAGTCCCTGCTCCTGCCAACCTAGCAGTTCGAAAGCATGTCAAAGTGCAAGTAGATAAATAGGTACCGCTCCGGCGGGAAGGTAAACGGCGTTTCCGTGTGCTGCTCTGGTTTGCCAGAAGCGGCTTAGTCATGCTGGCCACATGACCTGGAAGCTGTACGCCAGCTCCCTCAGCCAATAAAGCGAGATGAGCGCCACAACCCCAGAGCCGGCCACAACTGGACCTAATGGTCAGGGGTCCCTTTACCTTTAACTTTGCCCTTACCAGTCGAACTGAGCACCAGTCACCAGTGTACAAGACACTTACCAAACACAGTTCTTGCTGGAACAGATTCTCTGTTGAGCCAAAAGGATACCTGGGATAGAATCACTGTCATAATGCAGGGCAGGTATGTCTGAATGACAAAGTAACCAATCTTTCTCTTCAAATGGAAATGGGTCATCATCACAACATACTCTCCTGAATGGGAGGGGAGAAACCCAAGAATGAAACGTCAGTGAAATTCCTATGGGACAACATGCTTCAAATTCACCGAACAGAAATCATGCAGAAATTAGTATACTTTTTGTGCGTGGGATATGTTGTTTATTGTTTTTGCAACAGCTAGTCAAGAAATTCAGGAAAGGTTAAGAATTCCAGGCTTAGACTTTTGGAAGTGGAAGTGTTCTGCCCCGCCCCCAAAAAATCATCTAAGAGGCTTTATCAGTAAGATACATCATGCCAAATGATTTAAAGCTGCACTTTCCATCATCTTAAAATTCCATTTGGATAGATTTTGCCAGTGACCCCTTATTTCTTGTTTTTCTCCTTCTCCTGATAGGGATAAACTCAGCAGAAGCATCTTGCTATCTGGACATCTTCTGGAGAGTATCTGCTCTTTGCTTATGGGATATCGTGGCTTGGATTGCATAGATCAGGTTTCTGCTACCTTTGGATCACCAAGCTGAATACGGCTCATCTGCCCTGGTTGGCAGTGTTGTCCCAACAGCAGCAAAAATGCAGCTTCTTGTTTTTGTTGCATTTCTAGGACTGCAAAAATAAGGGGAGGTCATCATGTATCTGGGATGGTCACTATTCATAGCTGGTAGATTGGGTTCACCTTGGTCATCTCAAGTTGTGCAACCCTGGCATAGATTGACATTTGAGGGGTTTGACTGGGCTGACTTTGTTTTAGGAGTGGTGATTTTCCAAATGTCCTTCAGACCCCTCCTATATCTGGGTTTTATAAATTAGTTTCCTGGCTTAGCTTTCCTCTTTTAAAAAGGGCAAAATGTTCAGTGAAAACTGTGGTGGTGTCTGATAACTATTTAATGGCCCTTGTGAAATGGTGTTTTCCAGAAATTAAGCAAGTGCCTCCTTTTTAATCTCATCATTTGTGACAGTTAGTTGAAAATTTAATATCTGGAAAAGATCAAATTCCTTAGGGTGTCTAATAATGTGGTATTATATTCGGCACAGAGAGAACTGAAACAAAACAAATGTCAGCAGAGAAAAGAAACGAGAAGGTCTGAAATCAAAGGAAATCATCTCCTCAAACCAGAAGTGATGCATAAAATAGTTCTAGATCTTTTTGAGCAGGTGCCCCCAATCATGTCCCAATGTGAAATGGAGGATGGTGTATATGTGTCCCACTCTCTATAAGTAAATATAAGCCAATACTTAGGGGCAAACAGCCAGTTTAATGGGGACTAGTGCATGGTGTGTGGGAATGCTCATACAGATGTGAAACAGATGTGCAAAGAGTGTTTTCTAGGCAATTCCTACCCATCTTACTCCAAAATATATGCCAGAAGCAAAAAACACTTAAGGTGTTTAATATTACCAAGATCTGAAGTTGCACAGCAGCACTCTATCTTTACTTAGTCTAGCAAAGTATAAATTAATTTGCAAGGATGCAGAATTAATGGGGGCAAGGGGAGAGCAAACTGCTGGAATGCACTGATTTTAGGGATTCTCACCTATTCATAAAAATATTTGTTCAGTTTCATTCTTAATGGTTAAGTAGGTTTCGCACAAATACTTCCTCAAAATGTTGCCCAAAAAATGATCCAGGGAGCACTGGAAGGCTTTGCTTCAGTGAAAGGCTTGTGAATTCAGGATTGTTTAGTGTATTAGAAAAAGACAATTTAAGAAAGAAAATGATATTGATTTATATAATATATTATCTACATGGTGAGGGGGTCACTTCAGGAAGCATGAATCTGTCTGTTTCAGATCATGTTACTTTTGCATGTTACCAATCATTCCATTCACCATGATTCCATGTTAATCTGCCATTTTGAAATTCATCTCAAAATATGTCTTTTAATTAAATGCAATTAGCTGTGAATTATCATTTCAAAATATGTATTTATTTCATATTATATGTAAATGAATATTTTGATATGTTTAAACCACTGAGAATATTTGGAATGTTGCAAAATATGGCTAAAATTCTGTGTTACAGATTAACCAGAGAGGTGTGGGTCAGGTCATTTTATATAAAAAAATCATCAAGAATCTCTGAGGTATTTCAGTGAAATTGATTGACAACAAGGTGAGCAAGATAATTAATTCATGGAATTTATTCACTGCTGAAGACACTGCAATGGCCTCTAGGTGAAGTGGCACAAAAGGTAAATGTGTTCTCTCTCCTACGTAGAATTTTGAAAAGGCAAAATATCTGCCTTTGACCTTTCTTTTGTTATGTAAGTGCCAGGGTAAATCACATGATTTAAAAGGTGGGCCTTCATTAATCCTTTCGTTTCCCTCCCCAGCATATATTTTAATGGTTATAGTTCACTCTTCAATTTCTCTGAGTCTGGTTTGGAATGGGGTTTTTTTTTGTTTTTTTTAAATGACTCATCTACTGTGTCTGCATATGTAGATAGATGGATACTGTGCTTTTCCTGGGGGGTACGCAGGGGTACGCATACCCCTAAATATTTTGTGAATCTAAGTTTGGCCTCATTGAGGGGCAGTATTTCAATATGAGTAGGAAAATGAGAGTACCTCTAAACATCTTTTTTTAGGAAAAAAAGCACTGGATAGATGATAGATAGATAGATAGATAGATAGATAGATAGATAGATAGATAGATGATAGATAGATAATAGATAGATGATAGATAGATGATAGATAGATATAGATAGATAGATGATAGATAGATAGATATACCGTATTTTTTGCTCTATAAGACTCACTTTTTCCCTCCTAAAAAGTAAGGGGAAATGTGTGTGCGTCTTATGGAGCGAATGCAGGGTGCGCAGCTATCCCAGAAGCCAGAACAGCAAGAGGGATTGCTCCTTTCACCGCGCAGTGATCCCTCTTGCTGCTCTGGCTTCTGAGATTCAGAATAATTTTTTTCTTGTTTTCCTCCTCCAAAAACTAGGTGTGTCTTGTGGTCTGGTGCGTCTTATAGAGCGAAAAATACGGTACTCTCTAGTTCACTATTTCCAACACAGACTCAAGTTTATCAAGCAGAGGTCTCCTAGACCCTCGTCCTTCATACCTCCGATTTAAAATATTAAAATAACTGAACCTGAGATCTTATGCACTCTTTCACTGCATAATTTCCCCCCAGGATATCCCTCCAGGGTTATGCATATGTTTATGTATCTAGTTATCAGGGAGGGAGAGAACAGTTTGCAAGCTTAGCTTTTTCTCGTTCCTCCATTGTATGTATCTGTTTAGCAGTGATGTGGCAACATTTCAGGTGAGGGCCTCTCCAACCTTTCAAAAGGGTCCAGTCTCCACTGTGCAGTGTTGTAAACTTAGCTTGCTTTCTTCTTTACTGGATAAGTTCCTTTCATATTGTTTATTCCTTGATGCAAGTTCCTATCCCGCTTTGTTTTGTTTTTACTTGTGTGTGCAAACATCTTGGCAGAACTTGGCGCTAATCATAAATAATAGTGATTAATGTCTTTTAAGCCATTATGCTAATTTTGTTTTGATATCTTTGCAAATTGGAATCCCTTATTTTTTCTGCCTGAACTGCCTCGTTCCTGACAGCATTGAGAAGATGATGTGAACAGTGACTCGAATTTTAACTATGCTCTTTCCATTAAGACTACATTTCTGTAGGGAACGCAAATAGCAGGATGGGTAAATGATCTTTCATATCCTGGCTTCTTTGGATGGAAATAAAGGTTTGTTTTGCACATTCCTGAAGATGCAACCAGTCAGGCTGTATTTCTGATACAGCTCAGCACTCTCCGAGATGCTTATTTACTTCATGATTGACATGGAAAAGTATGCTTGTGTGGGAGGCAATATATTACAGTGGCTGGAACCTCAGATTCAGCTCTGTAAAATAGAAATAGCTGCTTTCTTAATGGGATAATTTGGTAGGTTTCATTGACCATTCAGTCTGAGACCAATGAGGGCCTTTCTTGAAGTCCACTCCCACTGGGTTTTGTTAATATGGCTTATTATTATTATTATTATTATTATTAAGATGAGGAGGAGGAGAAACGGCAAAATAAAACTAATTTTGGTAGTTTTGTTAACCCAGTGTTTGAACAGTTGTATGCATGCCAGGCAGCTTATAGAATGTCATGGACACTGAGCTCTGTTTGTTTATATGCTTGAGCTTCACAGGCAGTGTGATTTATTTTCCCAGAAAATGGTAACACTCAAGCTTATGAACAAATGGTGCTCAATTTTAACAGCAAAAGGAGTAGGTGGGTGACAGGAACTGAATCTTCTCCCAGCTGTCACTTATTATCCCACAACCCATTTCCCACAACTTTTGCACAGCTAAAACATCCAAGGGAATGGACAACAAAAATTAAAAACTATAAACATTTCAAAAATAACAATTTAAGAAAACCCCAAAGAGAGCAGCAAGTAAAATCAAGACGGGTGGTTTGTCAAAATGCCTCCCGAAACAAAAGAAAGTTTTCTGCTTCCTTCTGGGATGGGATATTCTACCATTTCAGAACCACAACATAAAATCCTTTCAAGTGTCCTAACAGACCACACCTCAGATGCATGTGAAACATGCGAGTGGAACTCAGGGAATGAAAGTCATAGGTAAAATTATACATTATGTGAAAAGAACTGTCCTGGATCACAGTTAGTCACTTGGGCATGTATGCTGCCTGGGTTCTTTAACACCAAAAAAAAATGTCCAGAATATTCCACAGAACTCCCCATATACTTCAGTCATCAGTTGGAGCACTGCTTACAGTGCTGGCTTTGTCTGAAGGAAGGTTGAGTACCTCAAAAGACAGGGCATTTTTGGTGGTTATGCCTTTACTGTGGGCCTCCCTCCCCGCAGACTACCATATTTTGATATGGATTCTGAGGTGTTTTTTTCTGTGATTGTTGTTATTTACATTTATTCATTGCTCACTATATAAAATGTCTCAAAATGACTTACAATTGTAAAAAAAAAGCATACACAGAAAAGTCTTTAAAACAAACATCAAAAGATATAAAGCAGAAATATTTACTAAAAGTGTTCATCCTGCAATATCATTAAAAGGCTAAATCCTGCCCCACTCTATGAAAACATGAACCCCAAAACAGGCAGAGTTACCATATGATTCCAATCAAGAATAAAAGTTTCAGTGTAAGTTTTGATAGCTTTAGGTAGTTAGATTTCTGCTGCTTGCTGGTGGTGCAAAATATTTTCTATTTCCACTACCAAATAATTTCAGTTGTATTGTTTTTATTCTTTTGTGGCCTGACTAGAGCGTTTTGAAGAGCATATGGCAGAGGACAAATTTAAAATAAATTATAAAAATACATCTCATGAGATATGTCATTATTTTATGCAGCATTCCTGACATTAATAATACTCTTGCTGATCTGGCTTAGTAGAGAGAGAGACCATATTTAGCACCCACCTGTACTGGACTGCACAATTCCAGAATCTACGGTTTGTCCCATGAGATCATATTGATTCAACCGAGAGCCATCTTCAGCTACTACAACAGACCTTGCTGGTTCCCGTGTCCATTCGTACATCACCTCTGATTTCGTATAAGCATCTAATTAGAGGAGGGGAAAGTCATTTCCAAAGACGGCTCAAAAAAGTAATAATTGGCTACTCTGTTTCTCATCACATCATTCGCTTTCCTGTCCCTCTTGTCAACAAGACTGCCTTTTCTCCCAACAGTTTATTTTATTTTGCAGCAACAACAATCCAATGAAGACCATGGCAGAAGTGAGTTTGCCGAACTTTTTCTTTCTGTTATCCAAATGCACACCATGAAATGGCAGTAATATTGAGAGGTGTATTTTAAGAATATTTTATATGAAGGCATATGCCGCATTTCTGAAAGTCTTACCAAGTGTATCAACCCAAAAAGCACAAGTAAAGGCCGGGGAGTTTTCTCTCTCGTTTGCCTGACTGATGGTGTGGAAGCATCTACCACAATATCCTGACTTTGGTCCAAATGTCTGACTCCATCACTCTTGAACCCACTTATACTTTGCCTTCTGTCTACCATGTACATCCCCCAGGGTGACTTGTGCAATTTCAATTAAGACCCAAACCAGTCTGCTTCCAGCCACTTCAGATTTTAGATTTAGATCCCTGAAACTGCTTGAGCAGTAGAATTATCTGAGTTTAAAGCATTTGGCAAGAACCCCAATGCCTTTCTTTTTCCCTTATCAGGTTTCTGTTGTAGTTTAAATAAGTTTCACCTTTTTAATTCCCAAGGAAATCTTCCTAATAAGTCCCTGCTTTAAACCGCGGTAGCACAAAGTTTGGAAACTATCCATCACTCCTTTCTGCACACTTGGTAAATGCAAGACTCTTTAGTCCATAGTAAGTCATTCTGTTTTAGTACCCAATAGGGAGAAATTATAGAGCTAGTATGCTGACCTCCATAATAGATCAAGGTACTAAATATCAGGAAAATACGGCATTTATAGTGGAAAAAGAATTTATAATTGATGGAGCAAGTTGTATTATCTTGACACCCCAATGTGCTAATGCTGCTGGTGCAATGATAGGGTTCACCAGCACTGAAGAAGGTCAGTTTGTAAACAGAACTTCTTCTAATACTACAGGCAGAATATATTCAGAGCTGTGACCACTCCCAAACTCATCTTTTGGATGAGAAGCTGACACCGCGTATGGAAAAAGCTGGCTTTTCCCCAAGATAGCAGCTGAAGGAGTGACTACTATATTTCAGATCTGTAGTAGTCACCCGGTTTTCCCAAGTTGGGAATCCATTATGTTGGGAGGCAATTTGATGCAAAATATTCCTCCTGATGGTCTCTCTCACTTCATGGGATCCTACACAATTATTTTCAAAATGACTTGGGCAGAGACATGAAATAGTAATACTGGGAATCATTGCTTGGTGGGCATTGGCAAGGGCCTGTGTTGATGTCTAGATCTTTAGGTCAACATGTGAACTTCAAATGGCCATCACTTCATTAGACTGAGCAGTCTCTTTGCTATATATGATTAGCCAGACCCTTTGTGGTATTTTGTGAGGTTCCTAACACTCCTTTACAATTCCCATGATCCTTTTGGGAATGATTAACTGGGACATCTATGAGTTAAAATCCAACTGAAATGCATATGATGTTTGTAAGTACATCCTGCTCTTTCAATGGAACTTGTATACCAATGGATTAAACACTTATTTGCATTAATTTTCAATTTAAAACAGGATTGCTCCCATTTGGAGGATCCACATTTTCTCTGTATAAATTGCTGAAGTTCCTCTTTCCCTCGTAAAATGTAGCTGCCGTCAAGCAGAAATAGGAACTATCTATATGCTGTGCTATCACAGTGCTTTGTATAAGGCTGGAGCGGAGCCATTTCCTTCTTTGGCTAAGGCCTATGCCAGACCGGATTACAGTTATTCATGTAGAAAATCTTCATTTAAAAAATAAAAATGCAGTGATTGGAAAATGTGTGTACACACATACAGTTCCAGGCTTTTAAGTCTCCTGTTCTGACTGTTAAGTGGCCTGTGGAAAGGAAGGATGGGGGGGAATGATTGTTAAAGTCAACTTACAGCTTCCAAATTTCAAAGGGCAAGCATGTGCATCCATGGGAAAGTCTTCTAAATGCATTGGACATTCTGCTCTCACTGTGAGTCTATAAGGGGTCACAGGTAATAGTATAGATTTAGGAGCAAAAAGTGGCTTTAATACAAATTATAATAAAAGATATGTATTTCAGCACAGTTTGGTTAATGTAGTATATCAAATTATCATTTGCATGAGCTTCCTTAAGAACACTTGCTCTCTTGGCTTAAAAAAAGCATTTTTCACTTCTGCTCACCCTTCTATTGTCACCTTGCAAGTATTCTTATCAATAGCAGTAATGTTTTGTGCTATGTTATTGCTAGGATCTTTGTAGTTTTCAGTTTGCTCTGCCGGCCACACTGAAGGGTTCAACGTTTGAACTAGAATAGTGGATAGAATACTCAGTTTATCAATAAATAAAACTCAGTAGTCACCGGTTATTTTTGCTTTCGAGGCCAGCTCCAACACCCTTACTCCAGTGCTCATTTCAGTAGGACTACGCAGGAAAAAATGAAGTTGCATTGTGCAAGTCTAGCATGCAATAGCAAAGCTAGATTTCTGCTAGCTCTCTTGGTCTCCTTCTCCTTTTTTTATTGCTCAGGCTTGCTCGTCATCATTACATTCAGAACAGAGCAGTGCTGAAGGTACACATTTCTGAAAGTCAGAAATATACCATTTATTAACTACATTTATACCCCTCCATTCATTGAAGGAGCGTAAGATGATGTACCTGGTTGTAGCCACCCATGTAACAACTCCAGGTTCATGAAGGAACGGAGATTTGAACCTGGCTCTTCTCCATCCTAGTCAGACACTCTAACCACTACACTAGGCTGATTTTCAGGAGAATTCCCAGCCCTTTTGTAAAAGAGTTCCTTGTACTTTTATGCTCTTCCTCTTTTTCTGTTCCAGAACACAAGCTTTTACTGGGGTCTGCCAAGCAGACCAGAAATGCCTATGCTCCTTCTGAAGAGCAAAATCAGCTCTGGATCTTGTAAAAGGAGCAAAACAATATCCCATTCTTCCCGTCTCATTAGTGTGCTTGGCTTGCCAAGTGAGACAAACCCCTACTTGTCATGTACAGGATGCTACTTTAATGCCATGGAGGAAACGACTGTTTTCGCTGCAGCAGCTACAGCTCATCCATAAGACTGGACTGTAGGAGCCTAATCTCCAAACTTGTTAAAGTGAAATATGAAGCCTTTTCAGTATCCCAAAGAATTAAGTGGAACTTAAGTAAGCTTAAAGGTCATAAAGTGAAAAGAGAAGCTCAGAAGAGAAGAAAAATTGATACCGAAAACAGCTATGTTCAGTGTATCCTTAATGTATCCTTTTCAGAATGTATACATCATTTCAAGATCTAGAATTCTAAAATAAGTGGTTTTCTTTTTTTTTAAAAAAAGAGGAATATAGAAATAACTTGTTCATTAAGAATGATAAATTATACAACACGTTTTTCATAAAAGGAGAAGATGCCATGTTACAGTTCTTACCTCATTGTATAGAGCAGTGTCCCATCTTCCGTAATTCGCAAGAGTTTGTTAGGCATAGTCATGTTGTGAGCTACTGATTTCTTTCCATTGTGGAAAAAAGTATCTGGTGTCCATATTTTGCTGGCCATTAAATTATTAAGTCGGAGGACTTGCATGGGTCCTTTGAACTTCAGTCTTTCATCCCTCCAGCTTTGCCGGAAAAATACATCTATTGTGTATTCCTAAAAATTGGACAATGGGGAGTTTTGAAAATAGTACAGTTTGGCAATAGGACTACTGAATAGGAAGAAGCTTCCAGAACAAGGCAGAGCTTTTTTTATATCATGCTCTCTGCTATACTGGCAAAGAATATATGAAACCCAAAACTGACTTTGAAAGGGTGTTACTCATCCAGTCTTCTGCATCTGGGCCTTTACATACGCAATATGGACAGACCTTACAGACTGTCCACAGTGAGACTACTTCCTCATAGAAGTTTCATATCAAAATTCAAGTATGCAACAGCAGCCACAACAGGGAATTCCCATGGGGAAAATGGAAGACCAGGACCTTGCTCTCTCATTCCTTGGAAACTCCTTCTCTTCACCTGAAGCTATAATAGGTTTTGGATCTTTGGAACAAACAGTACAGTCCTATACATGTCTACTCAGAAGTAAGCCTTATTGAATTAAGGGGTGAAGAACCTAAGGCTCTCCAGATGCTGTTAGACTCCAACTCCCATCAGCCCCAGCCAGCATAACCAATAGTAAGGGATGATGGGAATTATAGTCCAGCAACATCTAGAGGCCTATACATCCCAAAGGTAATTTGCTATGCCACACACATTCTGCTTCCACAAATTGCCATTCACTCATATCCACAACCAAATATAATGACAGTGCTGCAACCTGGACACAAACACAGAGCTCACTTTCTTTCTGCTTCTTTCACAGAAAATATTCTCTGCACCATGGGAATATATAAATAAATTATCAAATGATAAACTCCAGATATGTGTTATTTCACTCATACACACTCTTCCTCCAGGCTGATCAGAGCAGATTGCACATGGTTCCTAAGCAGCTTCTCACTCAGACATCGTATAGGGCCAGACCTTCTCTGATTCAGCTGTAAAATGACCACGTGTCTGTATAACATTTCTTCAGAGGCTGCCTAGGTTCAAAAGGCCTCCACAAGTAGATGAAGTACATGAAACTAGCAGTCTCTGGGCAGCAGACACCAGGATGACTATTATTTTCTCAGTTCTCTACCAACCCTCCAATGCACCAGTTACTTTGAGAACTTTAAAGTACCCTCAGTGGGGTTTCAATTCTCTAGCTAGAAATGCAACTGTTTTTCATAAACTGTTTTTAAGGGGTAACATACTAACTCAAGAAGAAAAATGGAACCTGTGCTCATCTTCCCAACCCTAAAAAAGGTTATGATGACTTGATTGTAAAGAGAGAGTATCATAGAATAAGCATTAACTGTGGTGCATGTTACAGGAGACACTGATCCTCAATGGAGGACAGTCTCACTACTATAGAAGACCATTAATGAAAGTGAACAATAGCTATGCCACAACATTAGCTGTGTGCAAAGCACTTGTGAGATGAAGCAGGAATAAGGCCACTTTCCTAGTCCTGCCCTCACTGTTGGATTAGCTCTGCCCCCAAAATCTGCACTGATCACAGGGATCTGTGATAAGAAACAGCTATGGGTAAGATACCAATACTCAATATAGAGTCATCGGGGACAAGACTAGCCCAGGGATGGAGTGTCGGAGTGGCTCCAGGTGTGTGGCTCTGTTCTTGATTCAGCTCATAGTGTCACACAAGTAATGTGTGATCAGGCTATACTCATCATCATTCCTCAGTGCATCTGAGGTCAATGCACTAGACATTGGAACTGTATAGTCCACTTGAACTGAGATCTATGCACATAGGCCCTGATGGGGCATCCAGTGTGTGCTTTAGATGAGCATGGTTTGGAGGAAAGTTCTTCCTATGATCTTGTGAAACCAAGTAATCATAATAGTCATAACAATTGTGGTTGTCACTCCACAAAGAACTTTTCCAATAATATTCATGGCCCATATATTTCAAGATTCCTGAAGGGAGTATTCTGGAATTGGTTCTGCAAAAGTATTTGCAGCTCCCATCCCAAAAGAAATTGACTTTGCATTTCATATGTCTTTTTCAAAAGATATCCATTATATGATTTACAGATAATAAACCGCATCTACCTGAAAAATCGGTAGACCACTACAATCAAGGGTATGAAAAAGTCTTGCTTTGACCTCTTAAATCCTTTTAGTTTTATTAAATTATGTCATAATTTGGCATGTTTGCTAATCAATAGCCAGTGTTAGGGAATATCTCTTTGAAAAGGCTACATCTTTGTGGCTTACCACAAGTTGCTTAGGTACAAAATGGATAATGAAATCCCACAAATGCATTTATTATAGGTTTTTATTTTGACTTTACCTCTTTATACGTAGTAAAGTGGGTGGTCAGGCTTTTAACGACTTGAGTAGTCATGCTTGACATCATCCTTACAACAATGACAACCACAAAAACCTGCAGTTCAATTACCCATTCTTTAGGTGAGGTATGTGTGTTATATGTGTCCTCAGTAACTGTGCTGAGGATGGCCTGAACAATCAGACAAGATATAATTTACTATCATAATTTACTGTCATCTGCATTGCCCTAAACTGATTCGCTGGATGTCTCTTAATCATGTATTCTGCACCACATACTTCAAGTAATCAATTTGCATAGTAACATGCTTTATCACAGGGAATGCTTCCTTCCCAGTTGCTGATGCTTCCCCATATTGGAAAAACTGCTACAAACATTTCAAACAAATTGAACTATCAAACTGGGGATGGCACTTGAGGTGAACATTTAAGTGCCCTGAAATCAGTCAAGGTGAAAGACTCGGAAAACTGGTCTAGAAGCAGAAAGCAGACAGGGCGAAACTGAGAGAAGGTAGGATGGCACTTACCATATCATGGTCTGAAACAGGCCCAAAGCTGGTGACGAAGATGTCGGTCTTCACTGCAGTTACACGCTCTGATGAAGCAGGAAATTAGGATAGTGAGTGCTTATCAATAGCTTTCATTAGATCCCAAACCAGAAGCTGTTATCCAAACAAAGAACGCATTGACTTTTAGAAGCTCTGAAATAGGAGGAGGGGCTTAGCTCAATGGTAGAAAGCATGCTTTGCTTGCGGAAGGTCTCAATTTTTGGCATCTCCTCTTCCATCTGAAACACTGGGTCACTCGTACTAATCAGTGCAGACAATACTGAGCTGGATGGAGCAAAGGTCTGACTCATTATAAGGTAGTTTCCTATATTCAAAATTGGGCCATAACATGAACTTAGTCATTTTGGCCCAGATCCACAAAACCATCAGTATGCTGTTGCTTACAAATTATTTTCATCCCCAGCAGACTGATCAGGCACCTGATTGGCCTTCCTGGCTACAGTGAGATGATAGATTGTATTTCTATGTTGAGGTGTTCTATGCTGAGACACCTAGGTTGTGGAACTCTTTCCCTATTTATAATACACAAGCACCATCAATGATTTTGCTTCGATTGCCTGATGAAGTACTTTCTGTTTATATGGGCCTTTTCTGATGCATATCCTTTTGTCATTGTGCACCACTATCCAGATAAGTACTATTCTATTTGTTTTATGGATGTGTTCTATTCACTGCCTAGGCACTTCATTTATTTTTGCAGTCTATGAGCCTTTAAAATAAAGAAATAAATTTAAATTACTGTAATTACTCTGAAATGTGCGTGTATTCATATAAATTAGCATATGCACATTTTATTCAAATATGTGTCCTTTTTGTGACACCTAAGTGGCCACCACAGACACATTCCTCTTTTATAAATCCATGGGTGAACACATGTGCACTGTTACAGGCTGGTTTAGGCAGGTCTGTGCTTCCACCTCGAGTGAGACTCGAGGTGAGTTCAACACTGCCATTTACTCTGCACTCCCACCACAGATTTGGTGTTAGCCACAGTCCATATCTATCCTGTTGTTTCTTTTGAAATACTGTGATTGATGGATCCCACTCCCACTCCCCGCAAAAACAACAACAACTAGTTTTGATCTGAATTGAGGAGAAGAATGAGGAGCAATGAGCACATGTCAGGGACTGGCTGAACACTGAGGAGTGGTGGCTGGATACTGATAAATGGGCACCAGGAGAAGCAGGGTTGGAGATTGACTTGGAATAAGAGACCAGTGAACTAGGGGAACCTGTAACAGCCTGGAGATAAGAGTCACAGGCAGGAGAAGCTGCAGGATTGGAGAGTAAAGAACAGGTACCGGGTGGAGGAGACAGATAGGTCAGGCTGGTGTAAAAGCCAAGGGTTTTCACACCTCCTCCTCCTCCTGCCCCCACCTCTCCAGTTCCACTTTTGCCCAGGACTAGAAGAGAATTGAAAATGGAGGAGCAGAAGGTATTGCACACAGCTCGAATAAGGGAGATACATAAACTGCAGTTGGGGGTGGGGCCTCTCTGTTGCCTCATAGGGTGCACACCTAGGAGTAGCTGAGAGATACAGGACATGCCTTCCCCTAACTTACAAGTGTACCTCTTACAATAAAGAGTTAATTTCTCACTCTGGACATTCTGCTCAATATCAACTGATGTTTTCCTGGGAAGTAAAGAATAATATTGTATTATTCCAGCTGTGGTTGCTTAGTCACACAGTGACTTTTGAGGGCTATTTTTTGACTGCTCTTAGGACTGACAACCATACAAATGATATTGAAGAGGCAGTTAGACAGCGAGTGTTCCTAATTAGTCCTCCAGCAAAATGGATGTGGCCTAGTCAAACCTGCTTCCAAGAGAATATTAATTGCCTTAGAGAAAGGTGCGGATTTTCTTGACGCCTAATTGGGTTGGAGCTTAATCCTAAAGAGGGTCATAGTGAGAATTAACCTCAAAGCGCTGAAAGTGTAAGGTTACTCTTGGTCCCCAAAGAAATATTCATCTTGAAAAATGAGTCTTCATTTCTTGGTGGAGCAAACTGCTTGGGAACTGAAGGCTGTGTTCTCATCTAAAAGAGCAAATTAGATTTAATGTTTTTCCTTAGGTCGACTAAGGGACAGTATATGTTACACACAAATAGGTTCAGTGCAAACCCTGAAAACCTATTTTCCAGGAAAATCTGTGTTGGGTTGGGATGAACTGAAATGGAGAAGGGTGAAGGGAGCAGATAGGAGAGGAGAGGATTCCTCTTAATGCTTAACTTAATGCTTAATGCCTTGGTTCCTGAAGGCTGCAGCCCTATATACATTTCCTGGTAGTAAATCCCACTGAGCTCAATGGGACTTCTGAGTAGGCATTCCTAGGATTGTGATAGATGTAGCTTTTCCGGTGAAACAGGCTGCCTGGGTTTATTTTTATCAATTTGTTTAGTTCTCAAACTTTATATACCTCTTAGCATTGCATCTCATAGGCTTAACTGGCAGGTCCTATTGAATTCAATGCAATTAAATTAGCTTAAATTCCTATATTTTAATATGTGTGCTCAGAGTGCCTGACTTCCCCAAGTGATTTTGAATGATGATCAATGTCAGGATAAACAAACATGATGCCCTCCAGGTGTTGGATAACAACTTACACCATTCCTTGCCATTGGCCATATATTGGTTGGGGCTGATGGTAGCTGATATCCACAATATTTAGAGGCCACCACTTTGGCTAACCTGGCCTAGGTAAAAGATGAATGAGTGCTGGTGCTCAGTGCTTTTCAGCAGCTATGACCATGCAAAAAGCCCAAAGCAATTACAATATGTCGTGTTCTGACCTTACCCAGAGTCCTCTCGTCCCAAATTGCATCATTTATGTCATCAGTCATGTTACGTGACATATTTTTTTTTGTGAAACTCTACCCGAATAACTAGATTTCTCTGAGTAGATTCTGTGGGGGTTTTTTAAATAATGATGATGATGATGATGATGTTAATTTCTGCACGCTGAGAAGGGAACTGCCCTTTCATAGATTCGTGTTTTTTAAAAAGACATGCATGTGCTTGTTTACCACTTTTGCAATTAGATGATTCAGCTGTGCTTTGTTACATGCTCCAAAAATAATGACTCATTCTTACATAGGACACTTTAGAGCAAGTGACTCACAGACTTGGGGTATTACTTCACAATGAAAGATAACCATCTCTTCTTTTACCATTATTAGTTTGAGCGTTTACACCCACCATCTAGATGGAATTGTGTTCCTTTGGACTACAAAACCTGGTGCCAACCTGGACTCAAAGCCGCCTCAGGCGTCCTTGTGGATGACCTTTATGAAAAGGACAGAGGGAGTGCAATTCTGTTCTGTTTTCATTTCATCCTCAAAAATGCATTGGGGGGCAAGGGAACTAAGAGGTTGTGGGCTAAGGTCTTCAGCACTCAATGTAAGCCATAAAGAAAGGAGTTAACAGAAATTCTAACATAAAAGGCCTACTTTTTCAAAATACTCAGAAGTGTGTGTGTGTGTGTGTGTGTGTGTGTGTTAGCAGAGGTATAACTGGAGCATTTGCCCATTTTCGGCTCACAAGTTTGTAAACAGAGTAGGATTGTGCCTCAGCTCTATGTGTACCCTGAATAATGAGGTAAATCAGGGTGATTTAGGATAGTCGTTCACATTACCTCCCCCCCCCCCAGTTGAATCACTCTATTAACAAGCATGTGTTAAAGGCTAATAGGGGGCTGTCCAACCTTGCAAGCAGCTCTGTTGCATTAATTTCTCCATAAAGTTAAATGCACGACTGCTGCCACCCTTTTCTGAGAAGCAAAACCAAGCTGACTAGGGAAATGCCCAAAGCTTGAAAGGGAAGGGGGTGCAAAGGAGAAATGCAAAGGTGGGGGCCTTTTTTTAGGATGGACAGGTCTAGGTTTTAATCACAGCAAGTTTCCCCCCCAGTGTGCTCCAATCACAGTGATTTGAGGGCAGGATGTTGGAGTCAACAAATGGGCCATCACTCTCAATTCATAAGGGAAACACTCAGGGCAGGGGAAGACATCACAGTCTCTTTTGGGATGTAGAAAACAACTAGAACATATTATTTTAAAATAATGACCAACTACATAGAATCAACAACCAAAGCGTTTTAGTTGATCTAATATATGAAGCCAATATATGTCCCGTATGAACCGTAAAAAGGAAGAATAAAACATGATCAGGTGGGAACAGGCTAGTCTAGCTGCTTCGACATTATTATACTAACATCACTGGATACAGTGGAAGATTCATAGTTTCTTGTGTGACTAAAGATGAATAGCCACCCATTGAAATGCATGAGCTTAACAATTCTTGTTGGATTTATTTGCGTGAGGGTTTGTAGACCTGGTTGGAATGCTTTCCAGTGACCAAGGCTCCAACCAGATGTTAAGACTTGTAGCACTGGCTTACTTTGAGTAAGGTGAATTAACTATTAGTAGTACTGCGGCATAAAATATGATGCTTTATTTACTGCAGGGATTTTGCAAACATCATAGCTGAAAGACGCACTCGTACAAATATATAGCTTCAGGACATTATGGTTGGATGTTTCTCTGGCACTTTGAAGGCATCTGGATGTTGGAAGGTGAAATGCAATAATGGTATCACTTTTACCCATTAGCATACTAGTTGACATAGGTCTGTGTTCTGCTAAACATCTCAGGATAACTTCCTTACCATCTTTAATTGATGGACAATCAATCGATACAAGTGATATACTGTTACTTATGCCACTAATCTAAATGTCAATAAGTGCCATTATCTCTGTTTAAAAATAAAGCTGTTGCACAGTGGTGAGTTGGTCTTGCCAAAGAATCTAATCTTCATCCTATCTCCTCAATCTTTACTTGAGCTATTTAAGTTTTCTATTTTGGAGCACTTGTTTAAGGATAAATAATAACTCAGAGATGGAAGGTGTTCATTCTAATCTACAAATACATGCTGTTTACTTAAAAGGTTGGGGGGGGGCTTGGTTGCCTAAAAGATAATTATTGGACCTAGCTATCCAAACTGCTGGATTCTACTTGAACAAGAGCATACAAATTCAGTTCCGTATGAAAATAGAATTTGAATTGGATCAAGGGTCAAAACTCCACTGAGTGTATCATTGCACCTGTAATAGGAATTGTCTTCCAAAAAAACCCCACACATATATAGAGCTATATATTTGAAACTCTATAGAGCCTTGACTAACCCATCTCCATCTCATGCTGGCCAAGGAAAACGGGAATAGAATATATTTATACTGCAATCTTCAGAAGCCATGCTGCCAAGAGAAGGGATAAGAATGTTTGTTCATCGTGTGTGTCTTCCTGCCAAAGGATGCAGCACCTGCAGCTACCTGATTTTGAGAAACCTAAACGATAGGGGTGTCAGAGAACTCTGCAAACTTCAGATCTGGGGGATCCAGCTCCCCTCCCAACCCCCCACCCAAACACATCAGTTTGGGGGCAGACCCAAACGGTCCTGGGTGTTGTCTGCAATGAGCTTAGATTGTGGCCGTAGACATCTCCAGGCTCTGTATCATTTTGAAAATGTGGTTAAAGTCATGATTTTATGTTATTTTATCTTTATCCACATAAATAATGCTGTTTTAAAGATTGCACCTTTGTCAGATATCCTACAAGGCACAGGTGACTCTCACCAGTTGCACTGCAACAGTTTTTTTAGCTGTTAATGGCTACCAACCCAATGGCTATAGTACAGCCAGTGATGTGGTCGCAATGTACACACAGGCCCTGAAAATGTCTTCCATACCACAGAGTTCCTGGGTTTTATAGATAATACTTTTTTAGAAGCCGTTCCTTTGAATCGGTAGTAACAGTTTTATTAGACAGGCACCAGTAAAATGTGCTGTTTCTCAACGTTACATGCTTGATGACTTGATTCAAATGTTTTATTGACAAATCCCAGAACTTTCTCTATCAGAAAAGAAACGAGTTCACACTGGGGACATAGTTAAGGGCCATGTTAACACACTACTGCAAACTACCACTGTTGTAGGCTATGCCAATGCAGATGTTGAAAATGGGGCCGCTGATCTGTGCTATGGCTTGTCGTGATTATACGTGATCAAGAATGAAATCAATTTTCAAAATCTAATTAGTTCTTTTTCTCTTGGTCTCTTGGCTATATGCAAGAGTTAAACCTTGTGTCTTGGTGTGGGGGGGAAGAGGTGGTCAGAAGAAAAAAGGCTCTTTAATGCAGAAAGTATTTCAGAATAAAGGAGATGCAACTAGCGACTGGCACTGCATAGATAATCTACCTGCATTCATCCTGCTTCCGTCCAATTCACAGGTTATGGGTGGCATTCCCAAGCCTCCCTTTAATCCCCACTCACAGCAGCTTGAATACCCCTGAATCATTTTTAATAATTGATTTAAATTGCATCAAATTATCCCTTTGCCTAATCAGAAAAGGCACTACCACTAATTCATGTATTATTCTTAAATGAGATCCATCCAGCTTTACTTGTATAGTATGTTCGGCGAGAACCATTACGGTTGACTAAAACCTACTATTGTATTAATCAAGGATCAAGAAATATTTATTTCTGGGCTAATCCTTGAGTTTACATGAAAGCAGAGGAAATAGCAGCACAGGAAGCAAGCAGAATGATTCCTCATTTATATATATATATATATATATATATATATATATATATATATATATTCCAAAATTAAATTCAACGTCCTCAGTGCAGAACAATCCATTATTTTCTTCAGTTCTTCATAATCTATGAACAATATATACTCAACAAAGCCAAAGTTTAAAGACAATCATTGCTAAATTCAATGCCATTATAATAAAGACTTTATTCAGCATCTACAGGGGAATCTGATAAAAGTAACAGATAACAGATAACCGGGGTGGGGAGTGGGGGAGGCACTGAATAGCTGGTTAGATGATAGATTGTGCATGTTTGTGTTTTGTGTGTGGCAAATGAATGCTTCTTTGAGGGTTGTTGAAATTAAATATGACAAGTGGAAAAACATTCCATTTTCTATGCAACGTACATACCTGATAGCTGAACATTTTTTCATCACTTTATGCTTAGTAGATGGTTTGGGATCAAAAGAAATGATATGTGCACAGATGAGAGAACTATACATACAGCTGATTTTTCTTTTTTCTTTTAGCTTTCTGTTTTTGCTGCAGCAATTCCAGCTGCTGAAGAGGCAAGGTACCATCTGATTCAAGCTAACATGCCAGGTTGAATCCAGACATCCTTTGCATGAATACAAGGTTTCCTTCTGTTTCCGTACAAAGGGGCTGAGACTCAGCAGAGGCTCCCGCTGGATGAAACAAGGGGGAGTAGTTCTGCTGATTCCCTCTGCAAACCCACCCCCCACTCTGCTTCCCATACTGTTCTAGAGAGGATCTAACCCTCCAGAGCAGCTTCTCAGAGGGCATGGGATGGAGTCTTCAGGAGAAAAGAGGAGTCAGCAAAAATTGCCTCCCATCCTTCCTCCAGAGGTAGAGCCCTATGAGTGGGTTTTCATTTTTGGTTATGGATCTAAGCCATTGTCTCTATGACAGCAAGGACTCCTGAAGGAGAAATAGAAGTCAAAGCTCTGCTCAGTTCTCTGACACATCCACACACATGTGTTCTTTGGATCCCGGTAATTATCTTAATGGTCGTGTCCTTAGAAGTTCATAAGATTTTGAAAGTTATTTGACAAATATTAGATACAAGTTGATGCATCAAATAAAAAACCATTAGGAACAACACTGAGCGTACTATATCTTGAGTACCTAGACATGTCACCAGCACATCTTATGCTGCCCCTTCCTCTTGTAGCCCCCTGTTCACACCCACCCATACCCAAAAAGAGTGCTCCTGGATGTTGACTCTCTGGAGCAGTCTTTGCTGTAATGTGAGGAACTACAATCAGAAGTAGAAATTGGGACAGTCACCCACATAAATTGTGGTAGACTGCAGCATCGGAGAACTCTTAAGAAGAAAATATTTTTGAATACATTCTAAAAAATCATGGAGCAGCATTATATGTTAACAATACAAGAAATACAGTCGACTCACACTTCCTCTGTTTGCAGAGATTGGTAAGTTTAAAAATGCTCTATTTTGCCATATATATTTTTTAATTGTGATGTGATTATTTTCCTAATTATGTCACAGTTCCTATTTCACATTTTCAGGATTGTGTAAAAAGGCTGATTTTGGCTCTGAAGTCAACTGTTAGAACTGATCAGCCAGTCCTTAAATCAATATGGCCCACTTCTGCCAACAGGGTTAGCGTCTCTATCACAAAACACATTTATATGATAGTATGCCCCATTGTCATTAGTGGGAATTACTTACAAACAAATATGATCACCACTGCTACCTTCAATCTAACTGAGTTCAATCTGGGAGCAAAGTATAAATCTGATTTAATGGGAATGATTTGGTCTTTAAAGATTTAATACAGCATCAGTCATGGAAGATGAGACTTTCATTTACTTGGGTTCAGATATTTACTGCCCAACCCAATGGATGCTTACCCAGAAGTGAATCCCATTATATTCAATGGGATTTGCTCTTAAGTAAATGTGCCTAGATTTGTGACCTTAATCAATGTTATGAGAGTATCCGGGGGTGGGGAGGGGGAACGGACATTTTTCATCTTTTGGATCATGGAATTTGGCCGCATATTAAGAAGAGTTTATATGACAACAAGAGAGGATTTAGCAAGGGAATGCTGTTGGATAGATCAGTTTTCAATACCTCTTTGTTAATTTTATCAGTTTACAAACATATAAGGTAATATGATTACATTTTCAAAGAGCAAAAGGAACAATCATTTTAGGCAATTTTGTTCGTAAAGTCAATCGAGAAAGTACAATAACACACACCTCCCAATCCGGGTCTCAGGCGGTTATCGTAACCATCAAGCAAGCGGTCCAGAATTCGAGTGAATATTGTTGTGTTGTCCTTAATTTCATCTTGTAAGGAAGTTGACTGTCCATAGCTAGGGAGGAAAACACTGCTGTTAACATTATAAACCATTAATCCACCAACAAACCTACAAAATCATAATTCTGAAATCTGCTTAATCTTGCTTATACTGATTTATAGATGCAAAATCTCTTCCATCATGCCAGATTGTAGTAGCATTATAGGATACTTTCTCCTGCATGCTTTCTTTTTAAAGAATGCATAGTCATTGGACAGCTTAGAGCAATGCACAGGGATGCCTAGAAATGGATAATAAATGAGACAAAAGAGGCCCTACAACAAAATGTTGTGATGTGGGGGGCTTCTGTTCAAGGTTTCAGACCCTTTATTCCATTCATTGACCTCCCACTGCGACAGTTTCCCTCTTCCCTCTGCCCTGCAATAGTAACTCACCAACTCACCACCACTGAGCATGGGGGGAAGGACAGGCTCACACATTTGTGCCTGATCCCTGTTATATTACATTCTTTAATTTCTCTTTAATGTCTATGACATTAAAGCTCTCTCTTCCATCCCTGGAGACATTTTAAAATAACTTCTCAGTTTGAACCAGGAAGATACAGATATAGACATATTCCCTTGCTCACTCGCTCAACTGTCTATTCCTCTCTCTCATGCAGTAACTCAATCTTTAGTTCCTGGCTGGGGGGGGGGGTGTCCTGCAAAAATTTAGTACCCGCGGAACCTCACGGTTGCCCAAAGTTTGCCATTACTTCTCTTTTGTGCAATGGTGTTGGTGCAGCAGCAGCTTTGGCTATATACTGTATGCTTCAGTATATAAAAGTACAGGGAGACTCCAATTGGTATCAACTGATCCTTTATTTTTTATGCTGTTTTATGCATTATTTCTACTTTCCAGTCTACAGATTTATGAGTGTAAAATAGTATGTTTTCCTTAAATCCCCTCCCCCCAAAAATCAGTTTATGAAAGCTTACCTTAAAAGAAGTACCCATAAATCATCTAAATATGCTAACAGAAGTAAACTGCAATCCTAACCCCACTAATCTGGGATTCAGCACCATTGTACTCAATGGTGCTTCCTTGTGAGTAGACTTGGTATGGATTGCACTGGGAGCTAATAATCAACAACCCGTTACTAAACATTTTCCCTGATAAATACGTGGCAGTGGTTTCAACAAAGTATGTTTCGAATTGCGGCCAATGATATCTCCATGTAGCACAGCCTTGTTTGCATCCCGGTAAACTGGTTGGCACCATCATAAAAGGTGTAGTCATTTCTATTTTTTCTGTATTAAAATGCAAACCCATTTACACCTTCTAAATTTTCTTGACGTCTTTGCTTTTGTTTTAGGAAAATAAACCTGGAGGCATACCTAAATCGTTGCTTAGCAAACAGGAAATTACATTTTGAGATAGCAGGGACGTTTCCCCTTCTCTCTCCTAGATTTCATACCTCCTGCCCAAATGATAAATAAACATCTGCATCCAATATACCTGACAGCAGAGCTATTCAGGCATCCTGGCAATTGCAGGGATATGGCTTTATGGTTCATGCAGCAGGTCTTTAGATCCAGCTGCTGAAATTAGCTACAAATATCAACTGGAAAGCTAATGTGTTAGCATGGTAGTACAGCTCCCTTTTTACCAGAATGCAGTTTTGATATATATAAATGCTGGTAGCAGTTGGTTTCCATGGATTTGCCACGGCCACGAGCTAAGTTCTGTCCTCTTCTTCAAACACCTGAAGTTCTTGTCATTAAGAAAGTGCTCCCCTTTCTGCACTTTCAAGTACAAGCCATACTGTTTTCTCCTAATCATCTATCATGGTTGTCTAAGAGCCAAATCTTGGAGTCCTTCTTCTGCCCTTTAACTGGGAAAGATCCTATTTGCAAAGTGGGCCATTTGCCAGTGTAAACTCAGCAGGACTTAGCCCTTGAACCCCAAGCTACTTTCCTCTTGATCACTTTGTCACATACATTATTACTGAATCAGCCTTCTTTGGGTATCTGATGTGAGGTAATGAACAAAAGTATTTGCTCCAAAAAGTCCTCTGGACCGTACCTCTTCATGAATGTTAACAAAGGGGATAAATGTTTTATAAGGTACAATTATACTGATCATCTTTTCCCATAAACTGTCATTGAGGTGGGCGATATGCAATATTAAGCTAGTGTTACTCTTCCTAAATGTGAATATGAGATTTTTGTACAACTAACAAGCAGAAATATGGAAAAGAGCTAGTTTGTAGTACCTTTTTATGAGCGGGAAAACTCAGCTATAGCTCCCCCCCCCCGCCCCCAATAAAAGATTTCAAATTGAAACAGTGTTCCTTCAAACTACCAGTTAAAAATGCACATAAACAAACACAGAGTGTGTTTAATTACAATTAATTTGATTCTGTATGAGAAATGTTGCTGTTGTTGTTGCTGCTGCTGCTGTTAGAATATACTGCCCTATACCCGCAAGTCTCAGGGCAGTTCATAGGATAAAATCAGAATATAAAACCACAAAGTACATAATCAGCTCACTAGAGGTGTAATATAATTCCTATCCTAAGTACACCTTTGCAAACTGATGGATGTTTATTAAATTCCCTGTTATTATTTTTAAACATCAGAGGGGGGGAATTTTCATTGCTTTTCTTTTTTTGCTACTCGTAAGGAATAAGAGTGTACAGTACTACCCTATATAGTTTGTTAAGGGCCACCTGCCACATTCCAGATAAGACGGGTCTCTGCATTGCCTTCATACGCTAACTGCATCTTTTCTGTAGCATCTGAAGGTCATTTGCACTTTTGGAGACACAATATAAACACGTCCCCAAGAGCTGTATCTGGTAAAGACTTCCTGACACGTGTTTGCCATGTGGTTTTCAGACGTACCAAAGCCTTTCAAGTACAATGTGGTCAAACTCCTGCAGAAATGCAGTGGCCCATTTTTTCCTTGGAAGTGGAAGCAAGAAGTGTCCTGATGCCTAATTATTGTACAACATTTTCCATAATCAGCATGATCTTCAGTGTGTTTCTCCTGGTCACGTGCCATTAATCTAAATGCCAACACAATTCTCTGAAGAAAGACCAGATGGACATGACTCTTAGGAACCAAGCTGCTCTTCAGTGCCTATCTCAGGATGAAGGTGGGTAAGAGCAATGGGCAAAATCCAAAATGTAAAGGCCTTGTTATGTCCCATTGAAACCAATGGGGTTTATGTGAACAGTGATCAGCTTAAGCAACATTAATTTCAATGGGCAATCCAGTTGGTGTGCTTTACTACACAGCCCTATATATGTCCGTTCAGAAACGGGTCCTATTGAGTTCAGTGGACCACCCTCCCAGGAAATTGGGTATAGAACTGCAGCCTTAGTATGCTTAATTATATTCTAGAATTTGTTCATCATTGAAAATGTACTGATAAATGCATGCATATGTTTATGAGAGATAAAGATCAAAGTGACATACTACTGGCAACATTGTGAAGATACAATTGATAATGCCTATTTCCTGAACGTGATGCTTTTAAAGACATCAACTTAGAAGTCTTGCTATTTTTTTCAGATAAACACTCCGCTGAGCAGATGTCTCCTTCTGAATAGGCCTCTATATAATGCGAACACAAGCCCCTTTCTCCACCATCATAAAACGAAACATTAGAAATGTGAAATTTCCAGTGTTTCCTACCATTTCTCTTTGACACAATCCACCAGTCCTTCTTCTTCTTTTTTTTTAAAAAAAAGCCCAACCTCTCACAAGCATTGGCAATGCCATTTATAAATACAACTGTTGGATTACAAATTTGTGACCCTGCCTTCCATTTGGCTGGCCCTCTTTGTGTTATTGATCTCTAAACAGCCATAAGACAAACCTGTGCAAGGATTTTATCTATGAAATTAAGGGGGGGGGGCGTTCAGTGTATTTTGAACATCTTGAAGGAAAATGTCAGTGACTGTGTTTGTGGTTCCATACTAAACAACTGTATAATAAAACACTGTGCACTGACTCCATCTACAGGTCATTATAATAGTGACACCTCATAAAAATTTTCAAAAGCAGGCAAATGCATCTTGATTCCCAATTCCAAATCCACAATTCCAGTGAAACATACACATCAGCACATGACAAAGAGAAAATGACAAAACAGAGGAAGATATCCACGGGTCAAAGTTCTCCTGTTCCCCTTTCCTTTAGGAAACCAGTGTTTTTGTTCCTTCGTCACTCATCAGCTGTGCGAAATAGAGCTGTACACATCTTTTGCTTCTATATTTATTTTATTGTCCTGTTCTTTTAGAATAAATGCTGAAGCTAAATTTGAAAATCCTCTGCCCCCAACTCATTACACAAACACACATTTACACCGTTATCTGAGAATGATTTATATAATGCTGCTGAATAAAGGGAAGGGAGTTATGGGGAATAATTCTGTACCTGTAATTCGTTATCCAGAATGAAAACATATTTCCAATGATATATTCAGTATATGCATTATTGATAGAGGTGATTCTTATATGTACATTTCAAAGTCTAAGAATTCTCCCCATCCCCCATTCAGTATGTTTGAAGTGTATTTCACATTCTATTGATGTTAGTGACCAATAATGCATTTCCCGTGTCTAATCATGCAGTTAGCTTGCATCCTTCTCATGCATGGTGTCAAACCATACCCAAAATTTCAAATCCACAACTACAATATTTAGGCACAATTGTTCACATTTTTTAAACCCAATGCATTTTGGCAGCACAAACCTATGAACCTCTACTCAGAAGTTAATCCTATTGAGTTCAATGGAACTCACTTCCAGAAAGTGGAGATGGGCTCAAACTCAGTATTATAGAGCAACTACTTAACAAGTAAGGTCCAGTCCTAGAGTCTGCAGTCCTGCTAATTTCAGTGAAAACAGACAATGGAGAAATCTCTGTATAAATTGCTAAAACAAAGCTGTGGTTTCCCTTCTGCGCAGAATAAATGGTTGCAAAAATTATCTGTGCAAAGGCCTATCTAATTTTAGCTGCATTTAAATCATTAATCTAACCGTAGGGTGGGTAAAGTAGTCTTGCTGAACTCTTTTTTGAAGAGCAATTGCATTAAAAGATGTTATGCAAACAAACTGTAGTTTTCTTTCAATCTTCTCGTATTTTGACTTAGCTGGGATTTGAGCAGGATTAACTTCCCCCACATACAATTAGTAGTAGCCCAGTACATGTGCTGCTTCTTTCTTATTCTTCTGATGCAACCAATAGAAAAAGAGTTCCATACTTATATTAATGAATGTTTTTTTTAAAAAATAAACTCTTTCCCCACCTTTGTCCAGTTAGTGTGCTCATAAGGAGAACCCAGGCCCAAAGGCGGTCACAGAGAAGATGCATCCTCTTCATGGTAGATTACAGATGTTCAGCTGAAAACAAAATAAAAACACAAGTCAACATTTCTTACTTGGGAAAAATGCTTGAAAACACAACAGGTCTACAAGAACTTTGGATGGATCGCCTTGAAGTCAAGCAGTGATATCACAATGGTGCACCATTTAGAGAAAAAGAAAATGGCCCCATCCATAGTACATCTAATAATTTCTAGACACTCTAGAGGCTGGGTTCTTCATTTAGTTCTATCTGATCTACCTGGTGCTTAAAGTGCTCTGGCACTCAAAAAAAAAAGTATTCTCATTAAGTTCTACTACTTTTGAGTGCTGTATCTGTGATTCTTTTTGCTGGCAACATAAAATAACCAGAAAGAATTTAAATATTCTTTTAGTTTTAATGAGTGAGAAAGTGTCCCTTGACTGTCTCATTCAGTGCTGAGGGAAAGGGTGTCCCCTGAGGTCATGGAGATTCACAGGAGGTCCTGCGGTGAGAACTTTCTTCTGGAGGGATCTCCATGCCTGCCTTCTTTGCTACCAAGCAATTTTAGCAGCAGCATAATGTATTTTTCCCCAGGATTGCATTGCTGGCCATGCACATTGATGCTTCCATCAATCTAAAGGGCATGCACCATAATCAAATCATGTGCTGATGACTGCATGCACATTGTCTTCTCCAAAATCTCTCTCGCTCTCTGTTGTTGTTGTTGTTGTTAGGACACCCATGTTACAAAAGTCTCCATTCACCCCCCCACCTCACGACTAAGCCCAACCCAATTTCAATTAATGTGCAAAGAGAGAGTCTGCCCCACTTCTTCTGTTCCCCCATCCACCCCAGTCTCAAACTATAGATTATATTTCTGGAAGCAGCCTGGTCTGTTTAGGCAAATACTGTTGCTGCCTTCCTCTTAGTCTGTGTCTAGTGCTGGAATACACTTCACTTGCATTGTTCTTACCCAAGATTTTTCTCCTCTCCTCTCCTGCACTTGGACTGAGTAGACTATTGGAAAGCAATGGAACCGAGGAGCCGAATTTCAGGCAACACGACCCTATCAACACAAGACGGCATGGAGAGGAGAGGCAGCGTAACAGAAGAGCTGTGTTTGGCGCGTGAGGAAAGCTGAAAGCTAAACGGCGAGGAAGGGTGCAATAGATGGGGGGGGGCCCTCTCCAAATGGACAGTCGTGGCAAGGCAGTGACAGAGAGAGACCCTCACGGCAGGAGGATGCTTAGAGAATCGCGCTGCTCCCCCTGCAAAAACGAGGGTGGCATCTCCAGTCTCCAGGTGAAACAAAACGAATGAAATCCACCCAGAGCATCGTCTCCCTTTCAGCAATAACTTTTGCACTCTTCCTCAGCCCGAGCAATCTTGCAAATGCCAGCCGGTGTCAATTCGCTTCCCTCGCCCTCCGACCCCCCCCCCCACGCAATAAATAAATAAAGGCATCGATAAAGAAAGTCACCAAATCATTAGAAATAATTGCCTGTGGATGCAGCCTGTGGAAAGGGGACACACACACCCCAAGTGCCAAAAGAGAAAAATGCCTTCTCTTCCTCCCATTCACTCCCCATTTCTCTCCTCTTTCTCCCCCTCCCCTTCCCACCACCATTATTTTTTTCTCTTTTAATAGTTCAAAATGAAAGAGCAAAAGCATGGGGGGGGGGAGATACCCCCATACCCGGTCTTCCATGTTAGGCACATCCGTTAAAACCCACATCCAATAATACCGAGAGGCATTTTCCGGAAGACCTCGGCTCCGCGGTCTTGCCTGCTTCTCTAATGCCTGTGGTGGAGACTTGTGGTGTGTGGGGATTGTTGTGGGGGCTTTTTCCCCCCTTGCCGGTATAGCAACTTTATATCCTCCCTCCCTCTCTCCGGGAGAAAGCCACCCTCCTCACCACCCTCCCCACCACCTGCAAAATGCAAGCCATTCTTGTTGCTGTTTTGCTAGCAGATCGCTTCCCAGTGATCTCTCTCTCCCCCCACCCCCATCTCCATCGCCTCTCCTTTTCCCCCCTCCACAAACCCGCTTATCAATTGCCCATCGATCGCTGCGGAATTTCAACCTGGGTAGGGGGTGGGGTGGGGTGGGTGGGGGGAGACGAGGGGGAGAGAGAGAGAGATCCGCGAATCGTGCCCACCAGGTACCTGCTAGGAGAGCAGCCAGCGCAGCCAGTCCCCTCCATCCACGGAATGCTCTTCCCGGGAAAAGCAGGCGGGTGGGGAGGGGGGGCAGCTAACGGAGCTGCTCAGCAGATGCTCAGGCAAAAGGGAAGAAAGGCACCGTTACCTGGAGACCCCACCGAGGTGCTGGCAAAGTCCGGGAGAATCGCCTGGGAGAATCGCCCAAGATGCCGCGGCTGCTGCTGCTGGCAGGGGAGAGGGCGCCTGGGAGCCGCGAAGAACCGGCTGCTCCGCTCACTCATTTAGGCGCTCTCAGCCATCATGGACTCTGCCGCCGCCGCCGCTGTTGCTGCTGCCGCCGCCGCCGCCGCTTTGCTCTCCGATTTCCAACACCCAAATTCCCTTTTCCGGGGATCCAGATCGCAGCTCTACAACAAAAAGCGTTGCTCTTTACCAAGACAGTAGTAGTACGTCCCGGGGTAAACCGGATGTGAAATAGGCTGTGACTTCATGCCAGGCAGATTTTATTTTAGAAAGGAAGGTGGTACCAAGCTCTCAGCTAGAGACCAATCCGCCCATTTTTATTTTTTTTAATATGCAGCACAGTTTAACTTCCAGCTCTCTCGCTCTCGCTCTCTCTCTCGCTCTCTAATCCCTTTCTCTCTGACTGCACACTCAAATCCTTTCTACAATCTGCAGCGCGATTATTATTATTATTGGGGGTGGGGGTGGTTGGAGGGAGGAGGGAGGGGGGATATTTTTAGGACCGGAGGGAGGGGGTGGGAGAGCGACGCTTTGCAAGCTCCGGACAAGATGCAATTGACCAAGCAGTCTATTTTGAAAGCCGGTGCGGTTTATTAAATAAATAATTTTTTTCAAAGTTTTTTTTTTTTAAATAAAAAAATAAAAAAAATCACCCACCCTCTCCGATCTGCCTTTCTTGTTATTCAATCTTTTGATCAAATATTCAGTCGGTTCATACATATGAATGAAGGGGAAGTGGGGATCGTTAAAAGATGCCTCTCCCTCTCGTTCCTTTGCATACCCATCGCCTGTATATTATTAGGAAGGCTGGACAGAGCGATCTTATATATATAGCCAGAGATGGGATGTGTTGCTAACTGAAGGAAGGAAGCACGTAGAAAAAGAAGCCGCCCAAGCCGGGTTTCTCGGCACACCTTGAGGCAACTGATAATTGGGAGGCGACATATTTGTCTAAAGTGATCTTTCTTGGGATGACAAGGCGAAGCGGAGCTTTAAAGGCGATAGGTTGTTATTATTATTATTATTATCATCCCGCCACGTTTGGACAGTTCAGCGTGTGCGTGCATAAGAGTGAGTGTGAGTGTGAGTGTGTGTGCCTACGCGCATGCCAGTCCTGTTTCTGAATGAACAATTTACTTGCCTTTGCCAAATGATGCAGGAAAGCGATTCTTTAATATCACTTTGAATAAAAGTCCCCTCTCCTGCCAAACAGGCTTTCAATGTCATTGCCTGTTCAAGGATGCATCTGTCACTGCCCAGCAGAATAATAACATCAGGTGGCCAATAAGACACAGTAATACCCTATTAAATACTGGTCCTTTCTCTGGGCTCACGCACGCTTTCCCATAGATATATCACCCCTTTTTCCTCCCCCCTCCTTTCCCTTACTACCCAGCTGTGGTATTCAGCGCCAGATTTTATGAATGGATATATGTTTCTAGAAGCAAGGTACAACAGATGTAATGCAGTCGAAGGACATTGCTCAACAGCCCTCACTTTCAAGACCGGTGGGAGCTCTCCATGGTACTGGAAATCCTAAATGGCAACGCTAATAGTAGTAAACTGCAAGCAGGAAGTCCTAACGTTTGGGAACATGGTCCACAGAGTAGCGTTCTTGTATGCTATACTGCAAAACCATTCTGCCATGCTGGTCTTTGCTTTTCTTGTGGTGGCTTATCATGTGAGCATGACATCCCTTAACAGTTTATTATGGGCGGAGATGGTGGGATGCCCCTGAAATGAATTTGATACTGATGTGTGACAATATTGAAATGCATCTGTGTGAGAGAGCAAAAAAGTCATATAGATTGCCCCTTCAGGAAGTTTGTTTGCCATTTGATAGAGACTACAATGTGGGAATCAGAGTAATCTGGTACACCATCTAAAACTGTGAGTTTCAGATTGAGTTGATTGGACACAGATAGCCATGAAAAACAAACACGAGTACCTCATAAATTATGAAGGTTTTTTGTTTTGTTTTGTTTTGAAAAATGGCACTTCCCTTTTGAGACACAAGAAAGTGGGAACCCAACCTTTCTCACTGAAAATTCCATTTCCCCATCCAGAGAGTTAGTAAAGGTAAAGGTACCCCTGCCTGTACGGGCCAGTCATGTCCGACTCTAGGGTTGTGCGCCCATCTCACTTAAGAGGCCGGGGGCCAGCGCTGTCCGGAGACACTTCCAGGTCACGTGGCCAGTGTGACGAAGCTGCTCTGATGAGCCAGCACCAGCGCAGCACACGGAAACGCCGTTTACCTTCCCGCTATAAAGCGGTACCTATTTATCTACTTGCACTTAAGGGTGCTTTCGAACTGCTAGGTGGGCAGGAGCTGGGACCGAAAGACGGGAGCTCACCCCGCCATGGGGATTCGAACTGCTGACCATACGATCGGCAAGTCCTAGGCACTGAGGTTTTACCCACAGCGCCACCCGCGTCCCATCCAGAGAGTTAGTCACTGGCTAGCTCCCCATTGATTTCCATGGAACTGAAAGAAGATACGCAGGCACTAAGTTCAGTAGGACCTACACCTAAGAATGCATCATAGAAATGCAGCTTTGCTTTCTCTCTGAATTGGACCTCACATATATTTACACTAAACACCCACATTTGACACTTTAGTGTGTCTTGGC